CGAAACGGGGTCGAAGAAGCTCACAACCCCTTGACAAACCCAAAGCGTAAAAACCATCAACAATCAACCAGTTCAAACCAACATCACCAGCAACGGAACAACCGCAAGCACCCCAGCTTAGTGGTTTTAAGTACGCGAGTAAACGCAATTATTGTTCATTTCTGCTTTCAACAATGGGCATGGCAGAAACACAAGTATAATTATTAACCTATCTCAATTATGACAATCTGAAGTTGTAATATAGTATAATTAATTTAAATAAACTGTATATATTTGAATATTTGATTTATTAATTGATGTATTATTTTTTTATTTAAAAAATAAAATTCGAATCCTTTTCTTTTAATTATATATAAAAAAAAATAAAAACCTAAATCAACTGCACATGCCACTGAAGCCTCTGCACCGAGTTCAAGCCCTGTGTTTAATTTGTCAAGATTTTGGTTAAACCAGGAAGCCTGGGACCAGCTGTTCACCAGTCAATTATTGTTCCATCGAGAAAAAGTGGTAGAACGTTCTTTACAAACGTCAAGCACGCCTAAATCATGCTCTTTGTTTTACTTTAGAGGGTGATGCTGTATTTACAACTAGTATTTCTAAAGTTGCCCGAAGCCAATTTTGAACACTAGTCGCTAGTCTAATATGTTTTAGTACGTGGACGACTTTTTGGCGTAAAGCAATGGGTTAACTCCAACCAATCTTAGTCCAGGTTGACTTGGAAAAACGAGTCTCATGATGGAAAAATGATCAAGTTGAGAAGACTATAGGAGCTCCCTGATTAACATTTAACAATTTTATGATATTTGTTTAATGCATCTATTAGAATTAATTGCATTTATTTAGAGCTTTAAATCCTTTTTTTTGGGGGGGGCTGAAATTGGCACTTGAATTAATACTTAAAGTATATGCATGCTGTTAGATCGAGTACATTTTTGGTTTTAAGGAAGTCTATCTATCAGTACTTGCAATATGCTTCTGCGTCAAAAATCGAAATTATCATTAAAGTCTTTGTTTAGTTTAGCATCGAAAACCTGTGTCACTTTATATTTAATTATCACTAATACCATACAATAATAAAGTCAATAGCCAGAAATGATAATATCACCTAATGTCCTTATCTTCTTTATCATCTCATTTTCGGTTGCCTTTACTTTCCAATTTTCAAAACTTATGTAAGCCTAAAATATGCAATATATATATATATATATAATTAATGAAGTGAATTTTACGGTAAGGTCAATAAAATTAATCAGACTATTGAATTTGAAAGTTTTATCGAGTAATAAAACAACAGAAGAGGGAGAAAATTGTAGTAGGACAAAACGCTAGAACGGTACTTTGAAAATGAAATTACAAATCCAAGTACGCGACAAGCGTCAAACAAGGGAAAAACGTAAATACTGGTTCAGGGAAGAAATTCTGCACTCTTAGCGCGTTTTTTTTTTTCCATTTTGCCTTTCGATTTATGTCTCAAAAAGCCTTTTGTGGTTCTGGTTTGAAAGACTTGGCATCCCACCGAATTAACAAACGAGCAGGCAGCAGGCTTGCTTTGAGTTTTAAAGCCAAAACCGGATCTATCTTTCGTTTTTGCAGTCCTTACTTTGACTTCTCTTCCACTAATTTCACCTCTCTGATCGAAAACACTCCTCCACTTATCTAATCTCTCATGCTTACATATATATTCATATCAGCTACTTCCTCTTTCGTTAATTTGCAAAACTTGCTCCATCTCTTCTCTCAAGTTGAAGCTGCCGGCCGCTACTTGTAGATAAAGGTAAGTCATGTTAAGATCCTATCCTATCCTTTTTAGAACTTCTGGTGCTTGTGTCCGTTTTGGTTTCTGGGTCTTAACTGAATATGTTATATGTGTTTTGGTTTTTAGTTTCTTTGAAATATAAAGAATACTGAGAAATTGTAGACAGAATTTTTTGAACAAGATGGCAGACTATTTCATCCGAACTCTATACACATGTTTTTGATGAAAGAAACTTACAAAAAAATGAGCTAAATTTTAAGTGTGTGCCATCATCTGTCTGTTTGAATAACCGAAAGTTTTCCATAAACCTAAGCTTTCTCTTTTTGTTGATTGCAATGCTTTAAAGCTTCATTGAGCCTGGAAGAAGATTGGCCTCTCTGCAATTTTTAATTCTACCGTCATTGCTCCTACAATCTAGTGCAACGTGCCTTACTGTAAGCGCGGATGGGCCACTGGGCGGTGTAGTGGGTCCTACCATTCTCTATCGATTTTTAATGCTGGTTGGTTTGTTTCCGCTAGGCGCATTCATGAATGCTAATACCGACAATAGTTTCACAAAGCATAAGCGTCTTTGCGAAACGTAGGAAGAATGCTGACAACTGTTAAATGCTACTCGAATTAAAACCCTTGTTAATTTGCTGGAATTTGATGAATGATTATAAATCTAATCCTGATGATTCTTAATCCTACTTATATCTCTTTAATTAGCTCTTTAATCAAGTTTTCTATCAAGGTGGGCGGTTGTGACAGTCCTGCTCTTGGGCCTTCATGGTCCATTTCTTTGACAAAAATGCTAACAACAATAACGATTACAGCACTAGTCCAAAACTTTGCTTTTGCAATGGTGATAGCTGTAAGCATGTCATAACCATGGATGAGGATGTCATTGTCTCCTTTAAATTCTCTTTAACCATTTCCTAGAACTTGTTCAAATGTGAAACCATGAAAACTCCAGTTTGGTGCAACGACTGGCGATGGGCAAAGGTTTACTGCCAAATCAGGGCTTGCTTTTTTGACCTTGGGAAATGTAGAAACGTGTAGAGCCTTTAAAGAGGGCGCTAAAATTTCAACGCCAATCGCTTTCCTTCCCAGTTTCCATCCTCTTGTTTAGTTTATATTAAAACAGATAGTGGTAATATTTAGCAATCCACTTCATTTGCGATTCTTAGAACAAGTTGATTTCACGATTCTCTATTTGGATTTTCCTGTTTTTTCGTTTTCTTTTGGCATTTAAAGCACCACCAAAAGATGGAATTTGCATAATCATTGTCATTTGTTTTTCAGGTTCGTTAATCTATTTACAGTTGATGGCACTTAAACCGATTTCTTGGGCCTTGCATTAGAACTTGGAACAATTTGGCCACCCCAAAATCCAAATTCACCTTAAAGAAAATGCATAAAACAGTTCAACTCGTCCGTTCTCTATATACTTTCTTGGTTCTCATCGGATCTCTGGCATTACTGACAAGAGTAGGAGGAGATCCAAGAGCTCAATCAGTGAACATTACATGTGGCAACCAACTGGAGCACAACACAACCATCTTTGTTCGAAATTTTGTTGCTACAATGGAGAAAATTAGTGAACAGATGCGTGATTCAGGTTTTGGAACAGCAGTTACAGGTTCAGGGCCTGATATTAACTATGGCCTTGCTCAGTGTTATGGGGACCTGTCTTTGCTTGACTGTGTATTGTGCTATGCTGAGGCACGTACGGTTCTTCCGCAATGCTATCCATACAATGGGGGCCGCATTTTTCTTGACGGATGCTTCATGAGATCTGAGAACTATACCTTCTTTGAGGAGTACACGGGACCGGATGACAGGGCAGTATGTGGGAATACAAGCCGGAAGGGGTCAAAATTTCAGGAATCTGCAAGACAGGCTGTGAACCATGCAGTTGCTGCTGCACTGGAAAAGGAAGGCTACGCTAAGGCTCAGGTGGCAGTTCCAGGGACAAATGAGTCTGCTTATGTTTTGGTTAATTGCTGGAGGACATTGAACGAGAGTTCTTGTAAAGCATGTTTGGAGAATGCATCTGCGTCAATACTAGGGTGCTTGCCTTGGTCAGAGGGACGCGCACTCAACACTGGCTGCTTTGTGAGGTACTCTGACACGAATTTCCTCAACAAAGAACCAGGAAATGGAATTTCACGAGGTAAAAGATTTTCATCTTCTTTTTAATGTTAGTTAATTAAAACAATGTCGTTTCTTAATATACCCCTGTATATGTTCCCAAATTCGTTAGCTGACAGGGAACCAACTTTCTACCTCGATAGTTTCGAGCTGATTGTGATTTGCATTCATGGATTTGCAGGAACCGTTATAATTTTAGTAGTTTCTGTTGTCAGTTCTCTGGTTGTTTTAGCGATTGGAGTAGCCATTGGAGTTTATATCCGGAAGCATAGATACATACAAAAGAAAAGACGAGGTAAAAGTCTCATTTACAAGGTTTAATTACTAAATTTCCATGCACCGAAAAGGACCCAAAAACAACAGCCAAATAAGAGATAAAATTGTTGTAGTTGTCAGCCCATGTTATCTAAATTATTCAAGTACATGGAATTGTGGTGAGGCAAGTTTAGTTTTAATGGCATGGTATCAGTATTGTTTCCTAGTTTTCCATTTCTCCCCTTGCTGAAATATTTCTGCCTTCCAGGTTCAAATGATGCAGAGAAGTTGGTGAAACTCCTTCATGATAGTAGCTTAAATTTCAAGTACTCCACAGTTGAGAGGGCCACAGGATCTTTCAACGATGTGAACAAGCTCGGGCAAGGTGGATTTGGGACAGTTTATAGGGTAGGTTTTTTCCTCTGATGCCCAATTTTCTTCTTTGGCATTGAACCAATGTGTTATGGTTTGAGAATTATTTGTCCTCTGTAGGGAATTCTGCCTGATGGAAGAGAGATTGCAGTCAAGAGGCTTTTCTTTAACAATCGACACAGAGCAGCAGATTTCTACAATGAAGTCAACATAATTAGCAGCGTGGAGCATAAAAACCTGGTCAGGTTGTTGGGATGTAGTTGCGCTGGACCTGAAAGTCTCCTCGTCTATGAGTTCCTCCCTAACAAGAGCCTTGATCGTTTCATTTTTGGTAATTACCAATATTTAACATCAATATGGATGCCAAAGCTTAAAATGATACTGACATATATAGGCAGCCCATTCACTTTAAAAAATAAAAATAAACCAGTTTAATGGAAGCTTTTATATTCTAACACTTATTTTCCTCTTAACAAACATAACAGATCCCAGCAGAGGTAAAGTGCTTAACTGGGAAAAGAGATATGAAGTTATTATGGGGACCGTCGAAGGTTTAGTCTATCTTCACGAGAACTCCAAGAACAAAATCATTCACCGAGATATAAAAGCTAGCAATATCTTGTTGGATTCAAGGCTCCGTGCCAAAATTGCCGACTTTGGATTAGCAAGGTCTTTCCAGGAAGATCAGAGTCACATCAGCACTGCCATTGCTGGAACACTGTAAGTATCACATTGTTGCTGTTTCTTCAATGCAATGTTTTGTTGTGTAGAATATTCAAGAGCGTCTGGGAAGTCAAGAGCATGAGTATTAGAAGAGCAAATTTGTTTTTCTAATGTCCATTTTAAATATGTTTTGAACAAATAATTTCAATTTTTACAATCCACAGAGGATATATGGCTCCGGAATACCTAGCCCATGGCCAGTTAACAGAGAAGGCGGATGTCTATAGTTTTGGAGTCCTTTTACTGGAGATCGTCACAGGAAAGCAAAACAACAGAAGCAAAGCAGCAGAATACTCTGACAGTATCGTTACAATTGTAAGTTTCGTATAGTCTCTCTAAAATTACCCACCTGAAGCTCCCCTTCAACTAAAGCTGATTTCCCTGTGAGAAAAAGGGTTTATTAATAGCTCTTTTGTATTTTTTTGTTTTTAATTAACGGAGCAGGCGTGGAAACACTTTCAGTTAGGGACCGTGGAGGAGATTTATGACCCAAACCTAATGTTACATAACAACCACCACAGCAGCAATGTTAAAAATGAGATTTTCAGAGTAGTGCATATTGGACTTCTTTGCGCCCAGGAGATTCCATCACTAAGACCATCAATGTCGAAGGTACTACAGATGCTAACAAAGAAAGATGAAGACCTCCCTGCACCAACTAATCCTCCTTTTATGGATGAAAAGACTATGGAATTCAATGACACAAGTGAGAACCCAGGCTATCCCTTCAATGCAGCTGATACTGATTCGATTGCCACTGTCACCCACAGTTCCTTTTACGCAAGATGATCTTTAGTGTGCGGTAGGGATGAAAAGAGTCAATCTTAATAGGGCAGCACTCGTAGTTTCGATGAGTAAAAGGCTTCAAAACAGTTCTAGGTTAGAATTTTGCCTGGGTCGAGCATCTTGTTGCATGAACTTTGTGAGCAAGCAATCACGAGCCAAATGAAGAGTTATCTTCAGAATGCAGAATGATACTTGTATACATAACCCAGCTCTTCCATATCAGATAAGAATAGCTAAGGGACATAATATAGTATAACCTACAAACATTGACTTACTATGAATTTTTCGTTGATATATAACCCTCAGATCATTTCGGCATTGATAGCAGCAGATTCATTTCTCAGGCTTCAAAGTACCCAGCCTCTATAGTAGATTAAGTAATCCATATTGTAAGCTTTAGAAGAACATAAAAAGTAAGAAATGACAACTTTGATGCAAAAGTAAAGCATTATTAATTATTATTGATTTGTCAATCATACCGCTGTTCAGTTTAGCAACCTTTATGGAGAATCCATACTAAAGCCCCGGGACATAAGGTCGGCATTTAGAAATGTTTGGAAATTCAGAGAACAGAATGCTTCTTCACCAACAGAAAAAATTCAAACATTGCAAGAAAAGATAAAGCCTGAATTTCTATTAACGTGTGGCTACTAAGTTCCCCATGAGGCCGCCACCGATCTCATAATGTCTGGCATTAGAAAACCCTGCTTCTAAAGCGAGTTTCTCCAATTCCTTCCCTACAACAGAGGACAGGGTACTTTAGTTATAAGCTACAACTATATCCTCCCACCCTAGGTTTCAGATTATTTCTGGTTCAGCATTTAAAGCCCAGTTACAGTTTATAACAACTCAAAATCTTAATTGTTTCATCATTCTGAGAAGCAATACAAATAGATAAAACTATTCTGGAGCAAACCATTATTGCATACTTTGGCGTGAAGATATAATAATTTCATTTGCAAAGAAAAGCACCTGATCTACAAATAAAATTTGACTAAAAATACCTAAAAATAAAAGGTAAATTGATATAGATCTAATAGGCACCTCAGTGACAAGAATCTATAACTTAAAAAATATCTACTGTAAACAAGATTAAATGAAACTAGAGTTCCAAAACTGAATTTGTTATATCATGTAGCAAATGAATCATCTCGGAAAAGAGCAACTCCGCATGAATAGCTATAGGATATTGAAGGACAACAAACCTGTTAAAAATTCATTGATTGAAGCTTTCAAATACTTGTACTCCTTGGCAAGGCCATAAACTGTTGCTGTTGGAACTACTACATTGTCAATCATCCATTCCTTTCCAAAAGCAAAATTTAAGATAAATTTAGTTTCTGATGTCAGTGGCATGTTTCAGTATTGAATTTGATGTCCTATAAGTGCAAAGCAGCATGACATTCATCACTAATTCAAGACTCTTTATGACGTTGAAAAAAAAAAATCATAAGGTATCTATTAAGTTGAGGCAATGGTAGAGACCCTAAAATAAAAGGCACAATGGTTAATGGCTACCTGAAACAAGGCAGTAAATGGCTGCATGCTTTTATTAAAGTCGAGGATTGATACCCTTGAGCCTGAAAATCCACACAAAATTTAGAGCATTCTCATCAAGCTATGGCTACAACTTTATAGAAAAAAAAAGAAACTAATTATCAACAAGAAAAAAAAAAGAAGATAGACTTTAGACCTGGCTTCAAAACTCGAAACATCTCCCGCATAGCTTGACGTCTATCAACCACATTCCGTAGCCCATAACCCATAGTAATAGCATCAAAGTTACCATTAGAAAATGGCAAATCAAGTGCATCACCTTCAACCCATCTGGATTCAATCACAAACCCAAATTATCCCATGCCATAAAAAAAATTAAACTTATGGTGATGATTTTAGAGGCAAATTATAAATAACTTTGCAATGAATCACCTATGGCGTCCATATTATGGAATGAGCATTTTCATTGTCTTAAACATGGGTTGTTACATAAAAATTACTACGTAGTTTGTTAACAACTAAATTTACCAGTGCTCACTCAATGTTATTGTTGCAAGCATTTGAAAGCAAGCATTGCCGTGATGAAGCAATTGATAGTAGCTCCTTCGAGAAATCAAGGCCCGTTACCTACAAATTTACCCACCCAGACATTATTTCTCTTTTGCCACATAAATCCAAAATGTCAATAGATAGTAACAACGGTAACATACACATTAAACAAAACATACTTTGCCGTAGGAACCAACTTTCTCGGACAAGAGGAACGTTAAATCCCCACTTCCACAGCACAAATCCAACACTGAATCACCCGGTTTTGCCCTGTTTCATTACTACTCAAATTAAAATTCCACGACAAACAGAAGCAGCAAAGAGGGAAAATTTTAAATGCCTACCCACTCCAGGATACGGCCATGCGTTTCCATATTCGATGCTGACCAAAACTCAGCAAATCATTTAACTGAAAATTTTTGCACCCAAAAAAAAAATGATTAAAAGAAGAAGAATTGTTAAACAATGCGAAAGAGAGGGAGAGATAACTGACGTTGTCGTAAACAGGAGCAATGCAGTTAAAAAGCTCCTGGCGCTCGCCAGCGCAGCGAACCGGACGGCGCTTGAACCGGGGACCAGGTAGGTGCGGAACCGAGAATCGGAGAGAAGCCATTTTCTTTGTTCGGAGTTCCGATGCTTATCCTTTCTACTTTCTATTCTGGTAAACCGCGGAAAATGACAAACCCAGCCCCCGTTACTATGTTTGGGCTTCAGTTGAAGCCGGCCGAAACCTAGAACCTAGCCCGAGATTGTGTTTCTGTCTACAGTCAAGCTTTTATCTTTAAAACGTACATAGCTCTATACATGTTCGTTCTAAGCTCTCAGTACTTCTTAATATTTTTTCAAAAAGGTAAAATCCACCATATTATGGAAAAAAATCAATTCTCTTACAATTCTAAATGTTTTAGACAACACCATGGGCTAATAAAAAATAGTTCAACATTTAAACTAAAAATCAAATATTGGATTGAAATTAATTAAGATTCTAGCTAGTTACGTACCATATGCTAAAGTTTAAATTAAAAAAAGTTAAAAAATCCCTATATGAAAACGAAATGATTCTTTATTTTAGAAACGAGCCTTATAATAAAAGATTATAATTAAACTAATGGAGACTATAAAAGGGATATGAACAATTTTGAATTTAAAAAGATTGAAAAAGAAGTTAAATTTCATGGCGAAAGAAATTACGGTAAATTGGAAAGATTCGATCTTCTCTTCTACCATGACTTTAGTAATAAGTTGCATACTTTTAGACATTTTCAAATTTCAAATACAAAGATTTGGTCTTTTATTTGATTTTTTTGATAAGTTACTTGATTTTAAACATTATCTTACATGTCAGGAAGATGGGTTATCCACGTCCGCATAGTTTATCTAATATATGTGGAGTGCATATTGATTTGCCAATAAAACCACACGCGGTAAGGTGGTCGTGACAAGAAGACGAGCGTGACAGTTTCGTTTATGGGTGATTGATAGAGGAAAAGAAAGATCTCGATGGTTCGGACCAAGATGGTGTCTAAATGCAGATGCAAGTGAGAGGAAATTGTTGTTGAAAGATGGTGGATCGAGATTCGTCTTTGAATTCGACAAAGGCGAAGATTTATTAGATATTTGGTTCAAATTTTAATTGAAAATCATTTTGAATTCTGAAATTCTATTTGTTGAGAATGACAAAGGGTAAGTATGCTTAGTAGTTAAAGAGTTCTTTCTTATTACAAGGCCGGCCGTTCGGTGAAAGCACCTAATCCAGGGCTTTAGGCCCCATATTTAAAGAAGCTCCAAATTTGAAAAGTTTTATAATATAATTAATTATATTAAAAATATAAAAAAATAAAAAAAAAGTCACTTTTTTAATTATATGTTTAATAAATCTCAATTTTATATTACTTTTTAATTTCTAAAATGTTATTAATTTTAAACTATATGTTCTTATTTTCAATTAATTAACCGTCATATATATTTAATCATCTCTAACGATTATTATTTTTTCATTTATTTCTCATATTTCCAACCACTGTTTTTAATGATTTTCAATAACTATTTTTTTCTTATATATAAAATCAATTATTTTTTTTTCAATGTATTATATCTACCTTTTCTCATTGGCTCTTTTTTCTTTCAACTTCAATTTTCTTTAAAGAATACACAAGAGGTTTATTATGTTATTATCTTCATAAAGTCATGAGCCTCATTTGCGGTTTGCAATAAGCATTCAAAAATTAAATACCATTGTTCTAATCAGACCCTTATACTTTAATTTATAGTTTATATTATATTATTATATTGTCTTTATTTTATATGATAGTTGATTTATTTGAATTAAAAATTTTAATTGTTGATTTTATATTAATCAATAATTATAATAGCTAAATATTTTTGTACCTCATAATAAATATTTGAATATGTCAAATCAAAAATATAAATTTGGTTATTCAAATATTTTAAAAAAAGGAAGAAATGAAAGTTTAATACAATCTCAAAAAAGAGCACTTAATAAATTTTTTTACAAGTAATAAAAATAATAAATCAGAAATTATTAATAAATGTCCTTTAAACGAACAAGTTAATGATCTTAACGAGTTAGATGATGATGAAATACTAGAGCAAAAAGTTAATGAAGAGATTCAAAATGATCATAGAAATCATGAAGTGATTCAAAATTATCACAAAAATCATAATGAAGATGATCAACCTATTAATTTAAATGATTGCATTTTTAAAAATATTTATGATCCAACTCAATGGACAAATATTGATATAAATTTAAGAGATTTATTAGTAGAAAAAGATCCAATTAAAGTTAATGATTTAGATTTTCCTAAAGATGAATTTTCAAGAGATTTTTTTACTACATACTATATTCAAAAGTTAGCAAATGAAGAGATGCATGAAAGAAGATGGCTAGTTTATTCAAAAGACTTAGATAGTGGATTTTGTTTTTGTTGCAAATTATTTAATTTGACTTCTAGTATAAGTAAACTAACTAATGTTGGCACCAAGAAATCTTAGTGTTAAGCTTAAGAGTCATGAAATGCCTCATTTAAATATTTCACTTTAAACTTTTGCACTTATTGAGCCACCCTTCAGAATTAACAATGGGTAGGAATTCCTAGTCTCCAAAAAATAGGATTCTATAAATATGGGGTATGTCTAGAATTATGAAATTGATGCAATCTCTATATAATCTTTATATAAGAGATGGGTTGTTTTTGAGAGGTTCACATAATTGTAAGGATGTGAAAAAGAGGGGGGGCAACACCATGTTATATGGGATAGAAAGTACTCCATGAGTTTACATAAAGATAGCGTTTGGTACGAGAAAAGTGAAAGTACATTTTTTGTAATTTGCTTAATTGAATTATATTTCAGTATTTGTTTTACAACAGACCACTACAATGTAAGATTGTAATGCAATCACATTACATCCCTTGGTTGTAATGTGATTACAGTCCAAAACTAATGCAATCACATTACATTGTACTCTGCAATGTTCTTATTAAAGATATTTTTATCCTTTCACTTTATTAGCTTATTAAAAATATTTTATAATGTTATAATTAAAATAAAATATATAATATAAGAATAAAAAATTAAAATAAAATAAAATATAAAAAATTAAAATTTATATAATATAGCTAAAATAAATTAAAATAAAATATATAAGATTATAATAATAAATGAAATAAAATATATAACATTAAAAATATATTTAAAAGATGATATTATATAAAAATTAATAATAAAAAATATAAATATATTAAACTTGTATTTTAATAACTAAAAATAAATTTAAAAATTAACATTACATTCCCATCAAAATACTTATAAATCAAACGCTTCAATGTTATCTTCTCTACATTTTAATCATTATTTTACTTATATACCAAACACTGTAATGTTATTTTCCTTACAATGACATTGCTTGCAATCACATTACTTTTAATCACATTGCATTATAAAGTATTAAATACCACCAAAAAGCTTAAAACGTTTTGTTTTAGGGCTCAGGTTAAGTGTTTTTTTTTTTAATATTTTGTACTTTTTTAATCATATCATGGATATTTCTCTCTTGTTTATAGACGAAGACAATAAATATTGAATCACATTAAATATTATCTTTTATGTATTAATCTCAATGTTGAATACGTTTCTACTTGAAATTCCAATAAAAAAATTTTATTTAATTGAAAAACTAAGTAAGATGAATACTGATCCAAAGATTTGAGACTATTTCATAGCAAACTCGGGAGATTATTGAAAACCATTTCTAGATTATGTTCTAAACTTAAAAGTAGGCGCTGGGACTAGGAGTTTGAAATTATTATTCTTCTGCGCACATGCATTTGCTCAAATTTTCTGATATCAGAGTTTTTTCAACTAAAGACTGATCCGGTGGTTAATTTATTCCTATTTACAAGTTTGCTTAGTTGATTGTTAACATACTCGCAAGTTGATACATTCTTCTACAAAAGATACTTTGATTATATTTATCATGATGTCCGCACTAAAAGAAAAAGAAAAGCTGAATAGATCATCCAAATCTTCAAAAGTATTTGATTACGATGGGGGAATATATGGAATGAATTACAATTATTTTCTTTCCCATGAAATAAGCATATTCCAATATTAGTGAAGTTGGCAATACATTTGCATTCAAAATATACATGGAATGGAAGGCAAAACAAGCTAACTTAAAAAAGTATAATTGATCTGGATATACATTTGAGAATGTGCTTGGCCCCCTTAGTCCTCTGTAAAGAATTGTCCAGACAGATTATCCATAACTGCAAATTGCATGCTCTCAGATGGTTTCCAGTGCCTCTTTCTTTGATTTATAAACCAGTTGTTGATTTGCTTCTGGTCTAGTCCCGTTGATTCAGCCAATGCTATCTTATCCGCTTCCTGAACGATGACCAAGAAAAGTATGAAATGGTATACGTTGCAAGCCGGCATAAATGTATGTAACCTGCCAGGAAGGGAAGAATTTACCGTTGGATATGGCCACTTGTAGTGAACATTCCACCAATCAAGCAACGTTTGTCTTGCTTCTCTTGGTAGCTTTCCTTTCTTCTTCTTCTTTGAAAACTCCAGCTTCAAGGTGCTAATGTGACTGCCAAATCTACGAAGCAGCGTGTCTTTGAGATCTCTGTCTTCACTTCTGGGCTGAGCTTCTTGTGCATCTACCTCCCCACCGCTAAGATCTTCGTCTGACGATGCCGCACCTTCATCTGGCCAGATGATCAAACAGGAAGGCAGGAGTTTGGTCATTCTTATCTCGCGAATTCGAAAAAGATTCATGAAAAGTTAAAGAGGAAGTAAGGAAACATCAGAGATACATTTTAAAGAATCAAGACTTACCCAACTTTACGCAACAAGATTTATTAAGCATTAAAAATAAAATTTTATGTATTATAGCCAGCGCCAATTGCCAAGCTAGAACTGGATATGCACAAACATTACATTGACACAACCAGATTGGCATCTCCAACGGAAAACTCAACTACTACACGAGCTTAAAATAAAATTCCCTTTTTGGGAATAGGATTCCCTGGATGAAGGAAAAAAGCACCCAGTTCACAATCATAAGTTTGTAAACCACTTTATGATCTTTCACTTTCCAATCAATCTCACTAAGACATTTATATAAATCTTATTTCTGTTTTTCCATAGTACACTATCCAGCACCGCCTCACATATAAATTTAAATCTATCTATAGATTGAACTACATACGTAATGTTATTTATATTTATTTAAGTAGCAAATGACGGGCTCTAAGCAAGCACAGCTACAGCAGCCAGCTTAGGCTTTTGTGGCCAGATTTTAGACAGCTCGTTAACCGTTATAAGAGCTCAAAAAGAACACAACAGAGTGTGAGGAGGCAGGACGAGAGGACAGCCCGGAGGGCCCCACTCTCCCAGGAAAAGACTTGAATTGAATAAAACCCCTGGATGACTAGAGTCTAGAGTTTAAAGACGGAGAGAGGTCATAGCAAACTCAGCACTGCACACCTCCAGACTAGCACAGTGTCAACATCGTGCCCAAAAGGCCAAGTCCTGGCGATCTGGCCAAAGAAAAAGACCTCTGTCTGGTTATATCTATTGTCAGTCATACTCTGCGTCCGACTGAAGTGGACATGCCAGTACGGCCATCATATCACATAATACACTTGCCAGAGAGTGATAGAGAGAGAAAGGATACTATTTCTATTATTTTTTTTATCAGCCTAATCAACCCACGAAGCTGCGCCCACAACTTATCAGCCATTATGGTTTCACATAGTGCCCAGCAAATCTCCATACCAGTGTATCATCCTCCTATGGGCCCATTACTCTGACTCTAATTCTCAGTATGGTCCTGGACGGTGAGCGGTGGCCCTAATGCCACATACACGCAACAGCCACCCATGTCGGGCAAGGCTCAAAGGAAATAAACTTAAAAGTTTTGGGGAGAAATAGACTAAATATTATGCTTAAGCTCTTTAAATTTTAATCTATTACTACTGACTGAGCCCACAATTTTGGGGAAAAAATAAAAAGAAAATGCACAAACCATCGTAACAAGCACTACAAACATAAGACACGAGCCTTGATGCAAGTGATTGAACATACAAGTTCCACAAAAACATTTGACAGTGTCAGAATTTGTAAAAGTAGTACTTTTGCTACCCTTAGGAATGAATTAAAAAAAAAAAACAAAACTTTAGAGAGTAACGACAGGTTTTTTATTTAAAATTAGGAGAACTAAATTATTGGGCATTTAAAAGCTAAATACTACTGCCATTAGTTGTGAACTAGAAGCATGGAAGAGGTGTGGGTAAGGATACCGGTGGCGGGGAAGGAAATTCTCTTCCCTCTTGATTGCGAAGGGCGTCCAAGTTGTGACTTGTTAGCGTGCGAACAGAGAGAACACCGGAGAAAAGCCAAAGCCTGGACAATGAGTGGACCAAAGAGAATATAAAAAAAAAACTCTTAACAAAATAAGTGCAGCAGCTGGGACCCATCGTGGAGGCCGTTCTGAGCTATCATGCAGACACGTGTGATGCATACTTACAAAGGCAGAGAGAGACCCACCAAGGAAACAAAAATGTCCATGGAAATGACAAGCACCAAGCAGAGCAGCAAGCAGCAGATACTAGGACTAGAGAGAGATTGAGCCATTGAACAATTGAATGAACCGTCTGATTTTCGATGAAAAGCCTGATGGCTTCACAGCGAAATCTGCGGGAGTCCATGTGAAATCCGACCACCCGATCAAATCGGGGCTTTTTCCCATACGAAAAAGGTTTTTCCTAGTCATTTGCTTTGGACCCCTCAATCCTTTCTCTATCAGCTGCCCCATGCCACTGCCCACTTTCATACAAGTTGCACAAAACTCTTTTCTTTGCGTTGGTCAATGCTTACCCAATTATGCATTGCAGGATTCCCTACGAAGCTTTTTCAGCGACAACCATACCTTAAGCGTCGCATGGACATTGGGCCTTCAAGACTAAGCACAACAACATTTTTTTTTGTTTTTGTAACCATCAACCATGCGCAACGAACATACTATTCCTAAAAAGAGAAACAAGAAAACACAAACAGCATGAAAATGAACCGACGGTGGAAGCCCGTAGGGGTGCTTCTTCATTCTCTTTGATGCTCTTCATATATGCGTAAGAGGTTAGCTTTCCTTCCGGCGTGAATCATTTCAACCCCTCAAACGCCTTGTTTGTGTACAAATATAATTTAAATGGCCCTTGGATTACTCCAGAGCCTCCCAAACCACAAACCATGCTCACTAGCATTAGTTGCCATGATATATCACGGAAATGAGAACCAGAGGATCAAGAACAAGCATATACTTATGTGATTTAATGCAATGGACTGAGTTATAAGAATTTTAATCATTCTTCCAACCTCAATCTTAGCCGGATTTCCATAAAAAGACCTAACTGTAACAGGAATGTGACATAATAGTACAGATAGGAGATTATTATAACATATAGAGCATTGCATCCATGACCTTCATTTAGCTGAAAATGCGGCCATCAACATAGCCACACTCGTACACTACACAGGATTGACACCAGGAAGACAGCATTCTAAAAACAAAGTCTGAACCGTAGCATAAACCTAGTTTTTATTTATTAGTTTATGTTGAAACTAAAAGAATTACTTTTGAGTAGTAACAACGTTGCTAATGACTTGATATTGAGCAGCTGCAATGATAATCTGCTTAATAGCATATTCATGGAGCAACTTTGCTTTCTTTCATCAAACAAAATCTAAAAACTATATGGCAGACTAAGGAGGAAATGTTATATATTTTTTACCATTACAATAATGTTTAAAACAAAATACCACTGTATTCCATCATCAATAAAGGGAAATACGTATGAATGCCAGGGATGGACATTAAACCATCCAAATCATCTTCCACTATGCTCATTAGACCATGAGAGCACTAGGAACAACAAAAGTCTAATAAGAAGCATAGAATCACAAGGCACTTCTCTAAATGCACTTAAGGAAATTCCACAATAAAAAGAAACCAGAAGAGAGTAAATCTACCATATTTTAGATTTATTACAGGAATTTATTAGTTCATTTGGAAGATGATTCTGTTAATTTGGAATTTTGGATAGATCAATTGCAGTTCCTAAGTGGAAGATAATTCTATACATAAATAACATGATTTGGTCACTTAATTGCACACGGGCAGAGACAAATGCTTAGACAAACATGAGGTCCTACAACACAACAGCAGCCTGGCAGGTAACCATTTCAACACAGCCCAAGCATGTGAACTTATACCAATAAAATGCCCAAATGGATCTCTATAAAAGACTACAATGGTTGCATGTGTATCAAATCTTAGGTATTTCTTTTCCTTTTGTGTGTGGATGGGTAATTTAACAAGTTCCAACATAAAGTATCAAGCACAACCCACCAAAGCAGAAGATAAATAAAGTAAATGAAGTGATTTGAATGATGATAGCATCATCAAAAAGGTATGTTGTACTTTCAAACAAAAACAACTATAGTTGCCAACTATCAACATCCAGAATGTAGTGATTTACAACCTTTTCAACTTCCATTCTTTATGCAAAAATACTATTATTTAGTAGTCATCACTCAATGAAGTATGAACACTAAGGCTGCTATAGGCATGCCAATTGCACAAGCCTCACCCCATACAAATAGAAACATCAGCAGCCTTTTTGTGACAAATTCTTAGATTTCTTACAAGAACTCTATTAAAAAACACTTCTAAAGCAAAAGCAGTATCAACAAATGCGATTTGTTCAAGCCTATCCAATTTCCAGCCATAATGACAAAAAAGTGACCTTGAAGAACATGTTAAGTACACAAAATTATTATAAAGTATTAGATATCAAAGAAACAAAAGAATGTAGCAAGCCATTAAGCCTTAATACTAATTCTTTTGGAAAGCCACCATGATCTATACTCACGTGATCTCAGCATATTCTTATGCAAATCAATGGTTAACAAAGACAATTGCAAGCATAAAAATGAACTACATTAGCTTATGGTTTAAATTTTTTTAAACTTAGTTATCCAAAACAACTTTCAAGAAGATATAACTATCAAAGAAATTATTACTTTAGCAACATATCAGCCAGTCTGATAGCAGGCAATTCCTAAAGTCCTTCACCTTCCACTATCCATATGCATAATTCCTTATGCTTCATTGAAACTTGATACTCATTCAAAGGACCAGACTGGACATCATTACAGACCATTATCATTCCACTAAAGTAAGGCATACTATTTTATTTTGCACAAGTGGATTGAAAAGCATGCAATATAATACCATATATCACTAATAAGTTTTCTTTAATTCTATTATTACACGCCCACCCGTGCACTCAGAAAATAGTAAAAATTTGAATATGAAAATGGAACATAATGATCTTCACAACTTAGGAATATATAATCAGCTGCAGCATATGATATTTAGATTACTATGCTGTGTTTTCTAAGCCATTGCTACACCCAAAATACCTCCCTCATATATGGAAAATTTTGATTTTTCTTTAAAAAAAATTGCAACATATGTGAAATATGAGCACTAGACTATGAGTAGCAGCAATTAGATATACATGACGATGCATATAGCAGTGACTGATTTTTTTCTTCATAATAAGCAGGATTAAAATTTTAATATATTGTTCTTGCTTTTAACCAGTATTCACTTGCTTCTTTATGCCTCTTTATTTCAAACATCAATATGAAACTCTTAATCAAATATATGAAATTAAATTTATTCCTTTAAACTCAACAATGATGAGATCTACCCTAAACAGAAATGACTACTAACAAAACCATACCACCTTATACAATAAGTAGTATCAGTCTACGTTACAGGGACTCTTCATTTTACCCTAACGTATCTGTGACAGACACCTTTTAGATACTTTATTGGTCATACAGGCATGACGCTTGGATCTTTAAAATTTTAATGTAAAAATAATTGTCAAAAACATGACATACCCATATTCAACACCCAGTGTCGAGTCTGTCACATGGGAGCCCGTTCCATCCACAACTAATCTTATTGATACATAAAAGGGACCAGAAAACCCAACAGTCACCATTCCCTAGTATTAAGAAAAATATGATGACGATCTAATAGCTTTTTACTCCAGACAGGATCTGTTGGATTGACTTGCATGTAAACCTGATCATAACTAAAGATGGGAAATCTTGTGTTGATAACAGATAAAGTGCATCAGAACACAAAAGTACGGTATACGATTTTAAAAAACACAGCACAACATAAACTAAGTGATTTTAGTAATCAAATCTGCACCTAGGCCAATAAGTTGAGTAACACTTTTTTAAATAGGTCTTTTTCAACAAACTTCAAGAGGAATAGCATTAATGGTGGTCTTTAGTACTCAACCAAACCAGGCATTGATTTTTTCAAAATGAAGATGTAACTACTATCACGCAGATGGATACAAAGCTCATCTAATAGAAACCTTATAATCATACCAGATTTAAGGCCAAAGTAATAAGGTTAATGAGGATAACATACTGTCATAACTGGAGAGTAAAAAAAGAAGTCCCCTTGGGAAAAAAATGACATAAGATAAACATTCAATCAACTCAAAGAATTGGCCCTAGGCGTTGGTACTCTAAGAGGCTCTAAGTAGGTTTTTCCATCATCTGAGGCGTTGCAAAAGGAAACAGTTGAGGCACATCAGTGTGTTGAGACTATCAGACAACTATTTCGCATGGCATCACTGAGCCATGAAACGTCAATTCAGAATCTCAAAACACAAAAGGTGATACTTTCAGGCTTCATTTTTCTCTGACACACAGCAAAACGAAGATAGAATACCAATAAAATGAAACCAACAAGAAAAGGAAAGAAAAGAAATGACAAACAAAGATGAGTGGGTAAATGCAAGCCCCGTATAACACTAATTGATTGGAGAAAGAGGTTTAATCCGTATTCCATCACTGCTGAACGCTACCATTTTTACATTTACAACTCTTTCGTGATAAAACAAATGAAAATGGAAGAGATATGGAGCCATAGCCACCCCATATATGTAGGAAAAGAAAACTTTCAGATTATAAACCCAACAAGGGGAAGTTAAGATAAGAACAGTGATAACCAAAGACACGGGTCAATTGCATCTCTAGGGTTTTTGTTGTCTGTTAGCGTTACAATTATTATTGACATACTCGGAACGTTGGATTATTCTTTTGAGTACTGTCGTTGCCCTCCATTAGTGGGTTCATTGGCAGAAAAGGATAAAGGATAGAGGAGATCTAGGATAAGTTTGACTAAGAAAGGAATGGTTGTCGCCCTCTTGTGGGTTCCATGATCAATGCTATCATGCACCAGGAACCTACATACGCAAGATTTGCGTGCTAGACTCAGGGATGATACATGGGAAGTTTACAGATTGATTATAGCTTTCTCTAGCTCTTTGGGGTAAAATTTCTTCGGTAAGTGAAGCCAGATAACGCAGCTATAGAAAGAGAGACAGCAGACTTGGATAGCACAAAAACCGAGAATCCATAAATTAAACAAAGAATAAATTAATTCAAAAGAAATATTGCTAGGATATAGCAACACTCAGACTTGTGAAAGAGAGGGAGAGAGATGGCTGACCAGAAGCGCCTTGAATGGAGGCACCCGTGCAGAGATTTCGAAGCTGCATTTCAATCTTGTTTAGAAAGACGGTCGCTTCATCAAAAGGCCTTGAAAGATCAGATTTGTATTTCACCAACATATCGCAGTAAGTTTCCTGAGCAAACACAGAAGGGAAAGAAAGGCATCACATGTAATGAAAATAGAAAGCAAAGAGAGGAAGTGGGAAAGAAGGTGAGATACTAGACCATGAACTCGTCGAGCTCAGGATCGGCTCCCAAGCAGGTTGGCACGATATCCCGCTTGTTAACATCGTTCTCTCTCAGAATTTCATCTAATATACTGGCTACCTCCGGGGGCGCCCCAACCTAGTAGTAACAAAAAAACAGACATTAGAGCAAGACAGAAACAACTAAAATTCTTCTCCAAGAAAATCCCAACAAACGCATACACTCCATATTTCGTGAATTTCATCAGACATTTCCCATAAAATTATGCGTATGGGAATTGATCGAGCAAGAAAGTTTCTTTAACAAGAGTAAAAAAAGGGTTGGATCTTGAAAATGAAAAGGAATGACTTTAAACTTTCACCATAAGATACGCGCAATTGGAAAGAAAAAGCTTCAACCTCCCAAGCCAGCCAACTGGGAGTAGTTCGAAACTAAAAAACTTGGCGTCAACCTTTCAAACAAACCAAAGTATACCCTCATTTAAGGCGGAAATTTAAAACACAACTAACTTCAAAACATAAAGCAACTGTAGCCAAAAATTGCTACTTTTTTTTTTTTTCAATCTTCTGTTGAGGTTCCTGCACATATCATCGACACCGTCACATAACATCATAGTTAATGAAGGGAAAAATGAGAAAAGGAAACGCTAGAACTTGTTCAAAAGGTGCGTCTTTTCACTGGTTTTGTTTGCACCAGAAATAGAAAAGAGAAAGCCTTGTAATTCATTTTTTTCTTCACCTTCTGGCAATCAATATAAGCTTCGAGCAAACGAGGATAAGAAGGATGGGAAGCGATTTTGGCTTTGATCACGCTTGACATGTCTTCTTCTCGTTGGATTTCAGGGGTGATGGACGCAGCTTCGGATACGGCAGAGGCAGCAGAGATTAACTCGTCGGATCCAAACATGGGAATCCGACCCGAAGAGCAAAGCCAAGCTTGGTACTCAGAAGGAAGGATCAGGTTTTCCGGTGACATCAAGGCCTTGTCAGCGTACTCTCCCGTGGAGTGGAATCCGTACATTTCCTCCATCAACGTGAGCGTCTTTTTAAGAAAAATAAACTAAATAAAATAAGCAGAAAGAAAAACTTCACAAAAAGATTCAAAGAAAGTTGCAGTTGATGTTGAAGGTGATGGGATAAGAGAGGTAAAGAGCCTGGTATAGGAGAGAAGAAATACTATGAAATCTGGGTTTTGGCTAAGAATAATTATTAGTAGGAGTATTTTGTTATTATTAGCTTTTTTATTTTTACTTTGAAAAGAAAACTGAAAGATTGGATTTGCTGGAATTGGAGTGGCAGAGAAGAACTGAGAGTGGTGTTGGGCAGTGTATTTTTAGGCCAAAAAAAAAACAGAAAAACCCAAGGACAGATGCTGTGAGGCTCAAGCCACAAGCTAAGGGAAGGGAAGGGCTGTCTATGGTTTTTTCCTCTTTTATTATATTTCTCTTTACTTTTTGTTTTTCTTTCTATTTTTATTTTTTATATATATACTAAGCTTGTTTACCCACAAGCACTGCCAATTTAGAAAGGGGTATATGCATTTTATATGTTGGAGAAATGGACCAAGAGTTAGTAACTGCCTTTTGAATGGAATTGTTGACTATTCTTCCTCTTGAAGGAACTATATGGAGTGTTATTATATGATTAAGGTTTGGAATTTTGCCTTCTCTTTTTGTTCTTTTCTCTAGTTTCATTTTTCTACTCTTCATTTAATTTTGCATGAGAGAAACCAAACCACTTGGGATAATCCAAATATCTAATCCTAATTAGAACCTTTTTAATTTCAATTGCATTTTCGTAGGGCAAATTTTTACCTTTTTTATGTAAATCTCCGCATCGAAATTCTAAAAAGAAAAGAACAGACAGAGAGAGAGAGAGGGCTTCGTCGCTTTTCTGCCCCCTCCTCAACCCCTGAATCCTGATAACAAAACAATGGGGGGGGGGCTGAAGACTAGGAGACAATAATCCTGGTGCTTACCTTAAAAGAAATAACATAATAGGGAACGTACGTTAAAACCAAAATGTAGTACTAGTAAAATATATGAATAAAATTTGAATACCAATACAGTCTAGTCTGAAAGCTATGAATTATATGATTACACTAGGATAAAATTTGGCAACTACGATAAAGTTGATCATGAGAAATTAAAACTCCCAGACCAAAAGCCTGTTAATTTCCCCCCACAAAGTAGGATGTTGAAATGTTCAATAATACTATACTGGTACTTGTACAAAGTATGTGCACCACCTTTTTGGAGGTCTTAATTATAGGAGAACATTAGAACACAAGAAAAAATATTACTATTCAATAATAATGGTTCACCGGGGGCGTTTTTACTTTTTACTTTTCTTCTCTACTCCTACTCCCAGTATAAAAATTCATAATATCATGGAAGAAATCCACTTCCCAGGGGCTGGAGTTGGGATTAGTGTTGCCCAGCAGGCAACAGCCCACTGTACGGAACCGGGTCATATGGAAGAAATCCCTCCTTTTTCAATAACCAACAAGGACCAGGCAAATAAGCAAGGCCCAAGACTTGCTTTTCCCTCTTTCCTTCCTTATTTTTCCCTAACACGAGGACAAATCTTTTGATCTTTCTTCTTCTTTTCTCCTCTCTTTTTTTTTTTTTTAAAAAAAACCTTTTAAATCTTCGAATCCTCTTTTTCTTCGGATTTTCTGTAATCCTAAACCTGGCAATACCCTCAATGCCTCAACCATCAACTTGCCTGTAATGTATTCCAACTTGATAAATATACACTAGCCTAAAAATTAACAAATGTTATTATTATTATTATTATTTTCTGCACCACCCCACCCCCCCCCCCCTCCCTCCCTCCCCTTTCCAGGGGTTGATGTTCAGCTGACTCAAACCAAACGAGCTAAAAAGCCTGGAAGCTGGAGTGATGAGCATTCATGAAAGAAGAAAAGAAAGAAACAAGAACAAAAGGGTAGACAAGGACACAACAAAGGAATAACAAGACCACACGGCAGGGTCTCTGAGCTTCTCTTTCTGGAGCAGAACTTTCTATAGCACCAAACAATGGAGTTAGGCCAAGAGTCAACATGAAGATTGTCACTGCTAATGCAGCGCTACTATACTACATATATACTTGTGGTTCTGTAAGACGAAACAACTTGGTAAACAGGCAAAACCTCCAAGAAAAAGATTGTGTTGGCTGGAATCTTGAATATATGGTGTCAGAAAGCGGAAGGAGAATTTGTGGAGAAAGGGAAGCGAACGTCACCCCACTGATCAATTACATACGTAGTTTTGTTCCCAAGTTTTTTAGTCCTAACCTACCCGCAACACCAGCATGAAAATTAAATACGCCAACTACGAGAGGTATTAACAACACCATTAGTTTCCCGAATAAAATAAAAAATAATAATAACTAGTATTACATAATTTTATTTATTTCGAATCATCCATGACAGAAAGGAAGGCTTCTTTTTTCGATAATTGTTTATTTAAAACTAAATTTTTTTCTATAGAATAAGCTAGACAATAATTAATTGAAATACTTTCCCCCGTCTTGTCCTTTGTTATTATATCTATGAAACAAAAATGGTACATAGCTTAATATTTTTGAATTATTAGAAACGGCTTATTTTTCCTCTTTTTTATCCCTTTGTTAGAGGTAAAATAAATAAAGCACGTTTTTCTAAACTTTTATCTATGTTCTTGTGGCCTAACCCACAACTTTATCCTAAATATAACGTAAAGCAAGATTAAAAGAATCTATTCTAAATCCAAGCTGGTAGAGTGGTAAAAGAAAAACCTAATCTGTTGTGAGCAAATAGACGTGAAGATGCATTCCCCAACACAACACCACCACCACCACCACCCAGCCAAAAAAAAAAAAAAGGAGAAGTGAGAATACATTGCTAACTAAAATGAGACAAGGTATATGTGAACGTAGGTTTCCATGATCACTCTTTGTTTTTTCTTTTTGTTATTTATTCAAAAATAATAATTAAATTAGATTTTTGAACACCAAATATATATATTTATTATTAAATCAAATTCTTAAATACCCTATCAATCTTTGTTATTCTCTCTTCAGCAATTGAAAGGGAAAAAGGAATATTTAAACCCGAGAACTTAATTACAATAAAGGCAGTACCTATTTTTATCCCATTAACTTAATTATCACATTAATTTGATTCAAATACTATAAACAAAAGAATTTTCCCATAAATGGAAATATTCTAAATAATTGTAATTATGTACTTGAGAATACCAATTTGGGAACGAATTCTAATTTTTGAAAGTGGAAAGTAAATATCTTTGGTTGAGGGAATTATTCTTTGTTTGGCAACTAAAAAAAAAGGGGGAAATTGGTCCAAATATTCCAAGAGTGACGGCAGTTTGTACAATAGCTTACGCCTTTAAACGGTGGCCGACATGATTCTGGTTGTCTGATCCGATCGACACACATTGATCTATAGCATATTCATTTATAAACCACCCCCCAATATGCTGCCTCGCAACCTACGTTATCTATGTTAGATCTCCAAAATTGGAACGTTGGATCTCCGAAATTGGGGCCCCAGACCTTGTCTATGGACAAATTTTTGGTGGGTTATGATAAGTTAGGAAGTTGGTTCTATATACTCCTTAGGATTTGTTGGATTTGCATAAAATTAATACTATAAAAAATGAAATACAGAGAATATGTTCAAATAAAATAATAGACACCAGGTTATAGAATCCTCTTGGCTAATCAAAAGTTTAATATAGAATAAAAATAATCTATTTTTATCAAATTTTTAGTTTAAAATTTTATTTAGGTTTTTTTATATAATTTTTATTATTAGTTTCACAAACCTAGCACATATACCAAGGAAAAAAGGACTTAAGATCTATTTAGAAACCATGTGCGTGGATTTTACAAGATAAACAACTGATTAATTAAGCTTTTTGTATAACGCTTGTCTTAACACGTTTATCCTGTGATAAGTATATGATAACTAGGTTAGACAATCTCAGCCATGGATCAAGTCAATTCGTACAAACATCAACGGATGGACAAAAGCCAGATGTTCTTCTGGGCCACCACTTTGAGCCAATTATTCTTGCTCTTGGGATTAAATTTTATATTTAAAATTACCACTGGCAGGCGGGAGATGCCCAAGAGCATAGAGCACAAAAGGATGGGGAATAAATGGCCCCGCCCCTTTACATATTTATGGGACTACTGCAGCTTCTTTATATCATATTTTACTTCAATAAATGCAAGGAATATAATCTTATGCGCTCCCTAACCAAATAAAAAGATCAACAAATGTATTTCTTGCTCGCTTATAAAGTTTAAATTTGGATGAGTTTTATATAATATCACCATGTCGTTTTGCCAAAGCCCAATGCCCAACGTTTCCTTACTATCTTTAAACAACTGAATGGGTTACTATACAGCAAAGTTCATATTCATAAAGCTTTTAAATCTTTAATTAATTCAACTAACCCTTCCCTTACTCCTCAGTCCCAACTATCACAAAGTCATGTATAATTTGTCCTTTACAGGTTTTGACTAACCTCATTCCTTGTCGCAAAGTTGTTAGGTCGTCTTCCAAAATCCAAACTTTTTAATGCTTTCTATTCCTGTTGCCAAATCTAGCTTCCTACTTACCCAGTGATACTTTTTAGAGTTTTGGAACAAATGATTTGTTGTGGCTCTAATACTTGGTCTCCAATTCTGATCAATACAATACTGATTTTGTTTAATAAAGGAAAATTTATGACAATTAAAGTTTGCTAGTATTGGTTTCATGGTTAAAATATTATATAGGTTTTTAAGTTATCACAAATTTCTTACAATTAATCCATATTTTTTTATTACATTTAAATAAATTTCTATTTAAATAAAGTTTTATATTGACGAACAAAATTTCAAGTGACACGCGATATCATCGATTTTTAAATTCATTATTAATTGACATCTTTCACATTTGTAGCAAACAACATGACTATTTAGATGTGAAGAAAATTAATTGACTAAAATGATCGTTTTGACCAGCAATGTTCTCAATTAATTAGTTTTGTTTTGTCAACATCTACGTGTACAAAAATACAAAATACAATAAATAATAATAATTATTATTATTATTATGAATATGATAATATAAGAATTTATCGAAATATAACACATAAAATAAAAACTCATTTAAAAAATTAAAAAATCCAAAAACTTATTTAGAATGTTAGCTGGTGTCACATTAGACACGTGTGGTTACTTGTGGACGAAATTTTACCGTCTCTCTCTTCATTTTTTTTTTCCTCTTTCTATTTCCTTCCGTCCAAGTACTAATCCCGCACGGGTTTAGATCTAAGCCCCCACTTCCCCTGTGCCACAACAGCCCAGGCAGAGGCTGAGGCAGAGGCCAAGTGGCCCCTCGCGCCACTCAATAGTTGTAGGTTAGATCAACATAACAAACACTAAACTA